CACACACACACACACACACACACACACACACACACACTCTTCACAGCATGTAAGGGAGGGTTTTAATTGGTGTGCTAACTATGTCATCTCCTTGAAATATAAAACGAATATTTATCGAAATGTTAATGAAAGCTCCTAAACCAACTTAAAATAAAATAAAGACATTTAAATTGACCTTAAGCAACTGAAATAATTTCCACGATTTTACACGATGCATTAAATCACTTATGAGCTTTTACTTGAACCTATCTGTGAATTTTCTGTCACGGCAACATGTTGCAAGGATGTTATCTCCTGCAGTACTTTCCTGTCCATGTTTTCCCACTGTTTGTGTACTTCTATGTTTAAAGCGTAATTATCTCTAAGATGGAGCACTAAAGTGGCTGTAAGTGGTTCAGTCCCGTAATGGTTAGTGTGTGTGTGGTGTTGTTTCCAAGCTCTCGTTTTATACTCCCTGTGAGATTTCCCCCTTCCTCTGTACGGAAATTAAAATATTACTTCTGTAGTTATCTTCTAAATATTTACTATTAGCTGACAGTGCTGGAGGAGGTTTTAAAACCGTTAGCTCTAAAACCCAATGAAAGCACTTCATTACAAATAAAATCATATCACTGGCAAATTGTGATTAAAAATTAAAAAAAAAATTGTTCTGCAGAAAAAGTTCCCCGTGAGTGTTATATGGATATTTTAAATACTGTAGATTAATTTGAACACAAAGTAACTTATAGTCTGTAGAATCACATGTTTGTAATGTAGCTGTACTGTAGGACCACAAATCTTGAAATAACTGGTTCAGAAACACAGACATGCCTCCTGGTATTGAGTTCAGAGTCTGAAGACTCTCCCAAGTGACGTAGGACAAAATAAAGGATGCACTCTGAACAGGTCAGCAGTCTGTTGCAGAGTACATTAAATATATATATATATTTTTTTTAAATGAAGGTGATGTCTTAGCAAAATATCTGGTTAAACTTTATTTGGTTCCCCCCCCAAACTGATATTATACTGAAGGTGGTGGTGGTATCTGCACCACTTCTCTTTGCTTTGTAAAACCAGACATTGTAAGAGCTGACGTTTGGTCTCCATTATCAGGACTTTCTTTCATAAGGTGCTAAATGAGTTATTAAAGACTATTTTACATAACACTTTGACCTCCTCTAGATTACACATGTTGACCCTGTTGGTTAGTAAGAGAAAACTTGTATTACGCTGATGAATCAGAGAAACCGTTTACTTGGGGTTGCTAGCTCTGTTTCTACACAAAATACAGCACCCTATGCAGAGCCAGCTTGCCTGAGATTTATCCACAATGTGCAAGTGCAGACAACTAGAAGCAGCTGTTGGTCTCCGAGCTTGACAAGCTCAGTCCATTTTTAACAGGACACGAAATAACTATGAAATCTAGACGCAACGGTTTTCAGTGAAACCAGATGTAAGCGGAGTTGCGCCTGTTTCCAGAGACAATTGTGGCCACAGGATGGCGCTAATGTAAAGGATGGATGTAAACTGGCACGTGAGCAGCTTTATGACAGAATGTTGTTTTGAGATGAAAGGAGAGATTGCTTTCACTTTACTATGTTTTAAATGATGCCAATTTTTAGATTTTACTAAACGAGCACAGCTTGCTTTGCTTTTTTGATAGAATGACACTGGTCTGGAAGTGTTTTCACACTGGTTTTATTTATTTTTTTGTTTTGTTTCGCAGCTGCTGAACCCGAGAGTGATATTTACATGCGCTTTATGAAATCCCACAAGTGCTATGACATCGTCCCCACAAGCTCCAAGTTGGTTGTGTTTGACACAGCACTCCAAGTAAGCACAATAATATGCTCTGTCCTTTTGACTGCAGACAAAGCTGTTATGACTTGTTGTTGTTGTTGTTGTTGTTGTTGTTGTTTGGTTTAAAAACCGAAGCAGGCACTCAGGCTAAGTTAATGTTCAATAAACTAAGCTGAAGTATTTTACCTCTCAGCAGTTTCTGTGAAGTGGCTGATCAAACTGTCATAAAGCTGTTAAACACTAATCCTCGAAAGTCTTTGATGCGTAGATCTTTAACTACTAAATGCACTAAGGCAATGGGTTAATAATCCTTATCTAAAACCAAGGAAAACTAATGTCATTGAGAGGTACACTACACAAGAGATTTTGAGTACTGTTCTACTTAACATGACAATAAGACTGCAATTCAGGATTAATTTTCATGTATCTAATCTAGTCTGTGAAATACTTGGATAGCTCTTCATGTCGTATTAAAATGTTGTGGTTTTGACAAAAAACACTACAAGACCTAAAAGAAAACCTATACACTTCATTAGGTACACCTGTTCAACTATTAATGCAAATATCTAATCACTCAATCATATGCCAGCATCTCAGTGCGTTTAGGTATATAGACATGATCAAGGTGACCTGTTGAAGTTATGCATCAGAAAGGGGAAGACGGATGACTCTAATGACTCTGAAGGTGACATGGTGGTTGGTGACAGATGAACTGGTCTGAGTATTTCAGAAGCTGATCTCCTGGAATTTTCCCACACAACCGTCTCTAGAGTTTAGAGAGACTGGTCTGGAAAAAAATAAAATATCCAATGAGAAGCAGTTCTCTGGGTCAAAATGACTTATTCATGTCAGGTCAGAGGAAAATGGGCAGACTGCTTTAAGCTGATAGAGAAGGTAACAAAAATAACCACTCGCTACGTAAAATGTAAGAAAAGCATCTCTGAGCACCACGGGTTGAACCTTGAAGCAGAATGCCACACCAGGTGCCTGTTGGATAAGAACAGAGGCTAAAATTTGTGTGGGATCACCAAAAACTGGACAGTAGATGATGGGAAAAATGTTGTCTGGTCTGATGAGCCTTATTTTCTGCTGCAAAATTACAATTCTAGTATCAAAGTGTGGCGTAAACAAGATGAAGTTCAGGCTGCTGTGGTGTAATGGTCTGGAGACATTTTCTTGGCACACTTTAAGCCCCTCAGTAACAATTGAGTGCTTAAACAACACAGAGTACCTGATTATTATTGCTGACCATGTCCATCTTTATGGTCATCTTTATGACCACAGTGTACCATCTTCTATTACCTGCTTCCAGCATCATGTCACAAAACTCAAATCATCTCAAAACTTGTATCTTGAACTTGATTGTTCAAGAAACATGTTCACTGCATTCAAGTAGCCTCTACAGTCACCATATTTCAGTCAAGCCGAGCACCTTTGAGATGTGGTGGAACAGGAGATTTACATCGTAGATGTGCAGCTGACAAAATTACTGGGCAATGTTTCCAGCAGATCCAACCCAGTACTATGAAGGTGTAACTAATAAAATAGCCGGTAAAGGTGTATCGGTTTATGATAGGCGTTAACTCCTAAGAGTTCACAGAATAATAAACAGAACAGTCACCACCTGCAATCAATTCAACGTTTCTTTGGCAGGTTAAGAAAGCCTTTTTTGCCCTGGTAGCCAACGGTGTGCGGGCTGCTCCACTATGGGACACAGAGAAGCAAAGCTTTGTGGGTAAGAAACTTGACAAATACCCCTTTCTTATTGTTCACTAAATAAAATACAGTTTATTGAAGGACCTGCTATTTTTATTTGGGGTTTTTTTTTTTTTCTTTTGACATTTAAAAAGCTTCCCCATCAAAGATGCAGTCAATTGTGGTCTGTATTCGACTTTTACACATTTTACCGTGTGAGTATAAGTTCAAGAGTTTAAGTTCTTGTAATAGAGTTGTATAATAAGCTATAAAATGCAGAAGAAATCCTGTATTAAGAATTTAGATGAGAAAAAGAAAATGAGAAAAACATCTCTGTAAACTTCTGTCACTACAGTGGTGTCAAAAGGCAGAGCAGAGGTGAATTGGATTTGCTGTGCTTTATTGAAACGACTTGTGATGAATAATGAATGCAGAGTCAGTGTGAGAATAAAGCTGTGGTGTGCTGTTTAGACCACGCCCTTATAAGCGCTGTCTCTACCCAGCTGCACGCAGGCTTGGCTCTGTGTTGTTATTCATTATTTCAATGTGATTTTTTTTTTTTAATGCCTGTTTTCATTGCAGGAATGCTGACAATCACAGATTTCATCATCATACTACACAGATACTATAAGTCACCGATGGTAGGTGCAGGTCACAGCTAAGGCGTGTGAGATTTACCCCTCGTTCCACCAAGACGTACAGTTTTCTTTTGGTTCTCTTTCAGGTGCAAATTTATGAACTAGAGGAACATAAGCTCGAGACGTGGAGAGGTAAGTGCTTGTTCTCCTGTGGTGCATGGATATTGTAAGGGTTTCTTTCATTTTTACCAAAAAAAGAAAAGTGTGAAAATGAATAAATACCTGACTTGGAATGAGGCTGAAGGAATGCTGTTTGTCTGTTTGGGAGTGTAGAAAGGATTAAAAAAGAAAAGTCAGTGTGATACATGAGAAAATTCCACCTGACCCAAAACTATTTGTACTTGTTTGTATCCAATGACACGCTGATAATAAAAATGAAACCCCGTTAGACCAAATGATTCCTTAATGGATAAGACAAATGATGTCAAACTTTCCACTAGAAAGAATAACATACAGTCATGTGAATGCAAAGGTTTTCACAGGACTCTGTGCAGTCATGTGGAAAAACTAAGTACACCCTTACTGTGTACACAGGAATTAAGAGTAGCAGCTGGGTGCTGATAATGAAATGCTCTTTATTAATTGATGATCAGTAATTTTGATCACCTCTGTAAAAGCAGATTTGCTTTTACTGGTCTGGAGCATTCAGGTGTGTGTTAAAACAGTGCTACACTGGCCCATTGGCAAAATGTCCCCAAGGTCAGACTGCACAGTGCTCAGAGAAACTGCCAAAAACCAGGCACTCAGACTCGGGTTTTTGAGAACTCTGCGAGCCTCGAGTAGCATGTTAAAGTTCATCACGGTACAATTAGAAAATGACTGAACATTTATTACTTGTTTGGAAGGGTTGCCAGAAGTCACGCATGAAGCTAAAGCTGGGTCATGCAACAGGAAGTGTTCCCAAACACAGCTGCAAATCTGCAACAGAATGTCTGAAAAAGTGCAAGAATAAAGGTGTTGCAATGATTCAAAGTCCAGCCCTCATCCTTATTGAAGTGCTGTGGCAGTTAAAAGAGCTACGAGTACCCACAAACGTCAATTAACTCAAACCGACGTTATAAAAAGAAAGTGCTCCAAAATTCCTCCCCAACAATGTGAGAGACTGATAAAGCCATAGAGAAAATAATTACTTCAAGTTGTTAAGGCTAAAGGCGGTTCCACAAGCTGGTGAATTATGGGGTGTATTGCATAAAATCCTGTGAAAGGTGTTTTTTCATTTGACTGTATGAAAAACACTGAGCAAATAATTAAATTCTTGTTTGTTTTTTCTTTTAAATATATGGATGCATATATTGTCTGTGTAGAAGTGATTGTAAGCCACCATTGTTTTGTTTCCTGCCTTGCAGAGGTTTACCTTCAAGCAACATTCAAACCTCTGGTGAACATATCACCAGATGCAAGGTATGTTTTCAGAAGGAATAAAATGTGTAATGTCTCGTTACGTATTTGTGAGTGAGAGGATTTTTATTATTTTTTTTGCAACTAACGTCTGCTGTGCTTGCAGCCTATTTGACGCCGTCTACACTCTCATCAAAAACAAAATTCACCGGCTGCCTGTCATCGACCCCGTTACAGGGAATGCACTTTATATTCTCACACACAAGAGGATCCTCAAGTTCCTCCAGCTCTTTGTGAGTCCAACCCATCAGCTTGCATTAGCATGCATAAGATCAACGTGGTTTATTGATTTTTTTTAAAATTTATATAGGTACAAATGTGTATTATGAACTTTAGATGGGCTTTTAAACTACATACATGATTCAATAAGAAACAAACCTTTTTTTTTTCTTTTTTTAAATTTGTTTTAAGCATGAAAAAATCAGAACAACATATAGAGCAATACAGGGCACAAACTGATTAAGATTATGCAGGCTGGGGACCTTCAAGGTGCTTTCTCTAGTCTTCTCTCACTTTCACTTAATTGGCTCCCCCTAGTGGTCAACTTTTTTAAAAGGAAGAAATTGGATGAATTGTTTTGACGTCTTCCTGTCTCTTCACTACGAGTGTTTGTGTGCCTCAGATGTGTGAGATGCCAAAGCCAGCTTTTATGAAACAGACTCTTGGCGAGCTGGGCATCGGGACATACCACGACATTGCTTTCATCCACCCAGACACACCCATCATCAAAGCACTCAACATCTTTGTGGAGCGGCGAGTGTCTGCTTTGCCTGTGGTGGATGACTCCGGTGAGACCACAAACTTCAATACTGGCATCGTGTACCTTTTTATCAACGCAACCTAATCAACTTTATACTGATTTGATTTATTTATTTTTTGTTCCTTTTCTTACAGGCAAAGTTGTGGATATTTACTCCAAGTTTGATGTGATTGTAAGTTTAAACATACCGCATTTTTTGCTTTATCAAATACTTGGGGCATACTGTTGTTTGGTTGTTTGTTGATTGTGTTGTTGTGTGTAGAACTTGGCTGCTGAGAAGACGTACAACAATCTGGACATTTCAGTGACCCAGGCTCTGAAACATCGCTCTCAGTACTTCGAAGGAGTTATGAAGTGCCATAAAATGGAAACGATGGAGACCATTGTGGACAGAATAGTCAAAGCTGAAGTAAGACACAGAGACGCTGGATTCAGTTCCTCAGGCGTAGCCCCACTGCTGATTTCCAGCTCACCTGTAACTGTGCATTATTGCTCCAGGTGCATCGGTTGGTGGTGGTGGATGAGCGCTCCAGTATCGAGGGCATCGTTTCCCTGTCAGACATCCTTCAGGCGCTGGTGCTCAGTCCTGCAGGTATAGATGCTCAGCATTGCTAGCGTCAACTCCCCCTCTGCCCTGGACCTTGAGCTCTCTCTCCCCACCTGCCCTCTAACCCTGCCAGAGGTAGGAAACATGCCTGTTTGGCTTGCAGCTGGCTATCACCTGTAGCTGGCTATGAAGAGGCATGGTGGCCATTTGTCCGGTGTCCTGTTTGTCCTGCTGGCTGCAGCATTGTGCAGCAGTGTTGTGTGGATTTTTGTGTTTGGACAGAATGCATAGATGAAAAAACTTGCAGCCGGTTCTTGAGTAAAATTAAAAGTAAATGAGAGTTTGGTGGTTTTCAGTATACAGTGGCTTTTGTTTAGAAACAAGGAATAATGTGTAAGTAGGATAAGGGGAACCTCTGTTAACAAGGATGAGTCCACGTTAGTATCGCACTGGAATCCATCGTACACTTGCGGTACTTCAGTTTTGCAAAGGGCTTTCCACTGCGGTCCAAATGTTTGCTCCCTCCAGACACTTTAATGAACTATGTATGCTCTGCTTTGCTGATGTTTGGCTTGTTTGGCCTGCAGCAAGCTCTACATTTAGTATTGATGTGCTTGAAAGAAACTAACATGCTTGCACAGTTATTATTTAATTTTTTGTGTGTGGTTTGTTCAGATTATAACCCCATCAGATAAGAGATGGTGCAAAGTACTTGAAAGAAAATGCAGCACACAGGCCTTTGTCACCTCATGAATTCTGTTTTTTAACCCAGCTCTTATTGACGTCTCTCAAGCCGTTTCGGGTTCTTCCTGAGTCTAAACAAAGTCTAGCGGGGCAGTTGTGGAGAGTTTTAAGGAGAATAAAAAATGTTGTTTTGATAAAACAGGAAGTTCAGTTGGCGGGATGTTGTAACAGCAGGCAGACTTGTGCTCACACACCTGCTTTTATTGACCTTGGTGTGTAACTGCAGTTACACAGAAATGGTTGTTAAAATTCCAGTCATTGGTGTCGAGCCTAATTCCAAAAATCAAAAAGAATATAAGGATTAAAGTTTAAACTCTGCTCCTGTCTCTACTGCAATATTTATATTTCCTTTCCCTGTTAATTCATAACTTGTGCTCCCCCCCCTTCTCCCTTCTTTCTTCTGCTCCCCAGATACCTGTAAGGAGGAGAACGCGACTGAATAAGATGTGGATGTATCAGCTTAAGTGGAGATGTGGTGGGAGTAATTAAATTGAAACATTAAGGTAGGGAGTGTAAGGCTGAGTGGAGCCAGGCTGAAGGTCCCAGATACCCCTGAAACCAATGCACTAATAAAGGCTTGGAACCCAAAGAGCTAGACTGCTGAGTGAAGTGGACTTCTGCACTGAAGATTGGATTTTCTTTTCTTTCTCTCCTGAATTTCTTCTTTGCTTTTTTGTTTTGTTTTGTTTTTTAACACTGATCAGATATGCATATGTTAAGGGTGTAGACACTGATCAGCTGCAACATTAAAACCACTGATGGGCGGAGTAAATATTGAGTCCAATGTGTTCTAATTGTGTTTTGGGTTCCGACATTTATGAGGTACATAACATTCCTTGCTTGATGATTCTGCTAAAACAAGACTGATTAGACTCTAAATTAGAAGACTCTAAATTCTCAGGAACACTTCAGTAAACTGCTTCCAAACTTCCCAGATCCCAATCTAATCAGTCATCCCTGGGGAGCACAGGTATGATCTGATCCACCAGGGGTTTGCCCTCATTGTATGATACCAGATAGAACAGGACACCCAAGGGTCCTGTCTCCATTCTCAATACACTACAGCAGGTTTGGTGGTGTGACGGAGACCTGCCAACAGTATTGGGACGGTGGTTCTTATGTTGTGGCTGATTCTTGTTAACACAGAAACTCCATTACGGTCTCTTTCTGGGGAAAGTTTGGAAACGTCAACACGGGTTCTGGTGGGTTTGGGATTCAGCGTTTCGGGTTGTGTAGTTACAATCATGCTGCTGTCATCACAAGTTTAAGTCATGTAGGAAGGCGAGCGTTAACTGGTAGCAAAACCACACGTCACCTGCAATGTGGCCACTTGACGCCATTAATTGCCAGTGCCAATACAGACCTACTCAATGCCCAATATTTATTTGTGCCTTTATTTTCTTCTCTCCACAGAAATGTATGTTGTAAAATGGGTGCAATGATGAGTATGAATGTGTAATATCGAAGCAGAGTGCAAATTGTACCTGCTTCTTCAAAGGTGTGCATTAACTTGGTTGGTTTGGGGGCGGCATAAATTTAAAACTGTGCCAGAAGCGTCAAGAAGTTCTGTTAAATCTTATTCTTGAAAGAAAATCCTAAATCATGCTGGCGCTGTTACGCAGTGCTCAGAGGGAGGATGCACGCTTCTGTCAGCCAGGAGTGCTTTAAGTCACGAGTGATCAATAAGAGTTAAGTATGGGTTTTTATAATGGTAACACCTGGTTCGGGAAAAAGCCTTTTTAAATATTTGAAAAGGCCCTTTTTCTCCCCTCCTTCCCATTTATTTTCAGTAGTTTTGAATCTTCAAATCAGTCTGGTTATCTCAGCTGTAGCTCGACAGGACTCATCTCCATCTTTGAGTGTAAATAGGATCGTTTTGGGGAAATGTGTCACAGAAAGCTTTATTTTTATGAACACTGACGTGTTTGAAGAGAGACTGCAGGTTTCATGTTATTTTTGTAAATACATTGTGGCAATATGTGTAGGTCAGAGAAACTTTGTAACGGATCAACATGTACTGTAAATGTGCAAGCATGAGAAACTACACTTCAGCAGTATGAATGTTGTTTTGTTTTTTTTTTTGTTTTCTTTTACTTTTTCTATTTTTCTGGCTGCAGAAAAATAAAGAGACACTGAATGTACTGTAAGCCATGTTTTTCTTTTTTTGAAGGGGGTGGGGGTTTTCATGCGTGTTAGGGGTAAAAAGTAAGATCAAACTTACTAGGCTAGATGCTCCACGACGTGAACTCTCACAAGACGTATTGATCCTGGAGCGGTCGATATTGAAGCTCAACTCAGCTGTATTTTTATAGCATTTTTCATGCGCACATTTCTAGTGCTTCCTCTAGAAAATTTAATAATGCAAAAAATGTAAGCTTAAAAATGCTAACATCAAAATGAGACAGCGGTAAGTAAATAAATACAAACTTTCAGCACCAAAAAATGGTAAAATGTTAAAAATGCACCAATAAAACCGGATTTAAAAAAAAAAAAAATGTATTTAGGCTTTGAATGTAATTACAGGAACTGAAGAAATACAGTTCAGTGTGAAAAATAAGTTGGACAAAAGTAATAAAATGGTGTAAAAATGCTTTTCATTAAATAGTTTGAGTCCTTGCATTCTGATTTAAAAAAAAAAAAAAAATTTAATTATGTGTGTATTTAAATATATTTAGATTAGCAGTAAAACTTGCCCCTGAGAAAATGTGTGCGCTCCGATTTGGACACAGGCCTTTGGCACTATGCAAACACATGATCACCTGACCTCTCACACATTTCACAATAGACCGATGTTAGCTCTCAAAAACACTGTTGCAATAGTGTCCCAATTTTAACACCCACACCCCTCCAGTGAACCTAAACCCTGAAGTGCAGCATTCAAAGTTGGTGTGCTACACATGAGGACGATGCACTCGCCGGCCACCTTAGATTGCTTGGACCCCCTTTTTTGCCTTTAGAACTGCTTTAGTTCTATATGGCACAGATTCGACACAGTGCTGAAAAACATTCCTGTGAGACTTTGGTCAATACTGATATTATGACTGCATTCTCCGTGAAACCTAAAGATGATTGTGTTGGGGAAAATCCTAGAAGATCAGCGGTTTCTGAAAGCAGCCCAACTGGCTCCCAACAAAGATGCCAAGCTCAAAGTCGCTGAAATCATCTTTCTTCCTCATTCTGATGCTCGGTTTGAACTTCAGCAGGGCTTTTTGATCACATCTACATGAATAAATGCATTGAGGTACTCTACTGTGTGTAGCGTTTACTTACTTGTACACTTTAAAGAAATAAGTAGTTAATAATATCAGTGTCTTGTTTCCTCCTTAAACGAGATTTAGATTCCTGTCTCTCAGATTATTTTTCCTCTTCTTCAGCAAATGTTTCACTGACCACAAACAGCTGAACTTCCCCAGTGCTGGCTGCTGTTGAGGTTCCAGCACTGGGGCCTTTTCTCTTTGTGGCACGCTGCCCTGAGGATATTTTAGAGCAGGGATAGGCAGCCATATGTGCCAGAGTGTGGCCGGAAAAGGATGACTCGCTTTAAAACACAATTTTAACACCCCAGCAGGTGGTGGTCCTCCCTGTATATGTGACCCACTTGGTAAAATCAGCTGCCATTTTTCTTGTAGATGAAGAAACTGTCTGCAGACACACATGTCACAAACCCACCGTTGCCTGTGTTGGAAGCTAGTTGAATATATGTGCTGCAGCCACAAGGTGACACTGTAGTACAAATCTCTGGCAGCACGAGGCTTCACGCCGTATTTCCACAGTTGATCCCATCCTGGTATGAACAGGACCTCCTCTGCCTCATTCAATATTTACATTCCAATAACAGATTAATGATTTCCACACTGTCTATTTTTATATATATTTTTTTTATTTTTTTTTTACCTCTTTTGAGGAAGTGGCTTGATTTCAGCAGGAAGTTTTAATGGTTGCCTCTAAATGAGGCAAAGGTATCATGTGTGGATCTGATGGACTTCCAAATGAAGGGTAAAGCTGGACCAGACTTAATCCAGACAATCTGCTTTGATCTCCCAATCTCCCCTGTGATATCCAGCTCTGGGAAAGCCTCCTTTACACCTTGTAGCCCTAAAGCAGAAGAGGCACAAGGGCTTCACCATCCTCCCCCTCCTCTTCTCACTGCCCATCTTTCTCCCCTTCTTTACACTCACACACACACACACACACACACACATATTCACCATCCACACCCACACTGGACTCTCTTTTGAAAGTCTAGGACTTGATTTAAAATTCCTCTTCAGAGCATGTCATGCATTTTATATGCATGGCGAGTGGGAAAGAGAGAGGAGGGATTGTGGGGGTTTGTGAGGAGGGAGGTTCGGGGGATGATGGGGCGGGTGGGGGCATCCAACCCAAATGAACTTCCCTCCGCTGTTGCTTTCCTCAGGGATATATCTGTACACACCACCATCACCGCTCTCTTTTGCTCCTCGCCCCTCATTTTCTCGCGCCCACTCAACTCTTTCAACATTAGTTTTACTGCATAATGCTTTTCACAAATTCCACCGAACAGCCCGGGCGCCGTAGCCTTTGAAGACAAGTGTGATCAGAACAGAGGCAGGGGGTGTACAAAAACCTGGCCGCAGGGCATTTGGGGTTTTTGCACTCGTGTTTAGCGGCGTATGGAGCAGAGGAGGGAGGCTGACAACTGCAGTGTTTGGGGACAGCTTTGATGTCTGATGGGGTGCGGCTGCTGCTTCTTCTGCACAGTCCTTCACAAGGAGACTGTCACGTTGACACAGCCAGGCTTTATGCAGAGCAGAGCTGAGCAGAGCCGTGATGGATAACAGATAATCAAAAGAGCGCGGCCGGGGCGGCTGCTCTTCACCTAAAACATCTCTCTTATTCTGTTTGCTGACTGGCTCCGACACCAAGACAGGAATCAATAAGACACCAAAGCAGCATCAACTCGGACTTCTGCATCTGCTGGAGAAAAATCTGGTTTATTAGGAACAATATGATCCCACTAGCTTATCGTGGATATAGCAGTAAACAACAGAAACACAATTCACTTTTCTTTTTTTTTCCTTTTTCTTTTAAGTGCTACAGTTTTGCGATTATAGACATAAAACAGCACGGAAACCATAGTGCTACATTCATATATGCACAGAGTATAAAAATTACAGTATATTGCTGTTAAAGTCTTCCTATTCCTGCTCATAGCACCCTCAGTTTCTTACACACACACACACACACTCATACACACACGCTCATACACACATCACAAATCACACTGTGAGCTGTTGTAATGAAAACTGGGTGGTTTTAACGTGAGAGCTGAGACACGGTTTAGGTCTGGTAGGTCAACATTTTTTACAGATAAGCACTGAGTTATCATTGGAGCACAAGGCTGACAAAAGTTAGGCTAATATAGTACAGTAACACAAGACAAACCCTCCACAGAGAGATCACAAAACCTCACTGGACAGACTCTCAGTGAACTGAAGCAAAGTGTTTTCTCCTTTTAGCTATTATGTATTTTTTTCTTCATTTTTTTTCCTTTTGAAATGAAAGATTAATACAAGTTAACTTTGGTTTCCAGCTCTCTAGGATACTATACTGAAAAATTGTGGCAGTTTAAGCTGTGAGTAAAATCAACAGTATAGCAGCCTTAAGCCGATGATAATACAAAACGGGGAAAAAAATCACTTTTTAAAACATGTCTTTTTTTTTCTTGTTATAATAGCAGCCAGGAAATAACATTGTTACAGTGTGATTCCTTAGAAGAAACTGTTAAAAATCTGTGATCTGGTACCTCTGAATAAATAGGTAATAAATGTTGCTATTTCTTGCCTGTTCTGTTATAAATATGGTTACGCGTAGCAGATATGCATTGTGTTAAGACATCGTGTCTTTCATCCATGCAACGACAAAGAAGCTGAAGAGTTTTAGTGATAGAGAAATTTAAAGAAAAAAAAGAAAAGAAAAGGTTTTCCACAAGTGACTTGCTGTACAACGCAGTATTTTGGAGGCCTTGAGTGCTTCCAAATTTGCAGTCGGACTGTAACACAAGACAAACATCGATTACAAAAACAGGCTGAAAGGAACCAATCAATGATTTGGGATGCATTTGCAGGCTGGAGAGAGGGGACATCTCAGGTTTCACACATGGGACCCCCTGGCTTTGCTGCTGGCATCTCCTCAGTCATTTGCGAGAAACTGCCTTCGGTTCAGAGTTCATTCTGTGGCAATACCGAGCCACTGTGAGACCTCAGCCGGGGCGAGGTCTGAAACCTGAGCGAGCCCATTCGACAGTAAAAGCAAATTTAAAAAATAAACGATGTCGTGTGCTAATAGTACGAGCTGTGATTATTTATAATTTGTAGGGCAGTGATTTTAGAAAAGGAGTGTGTCAGGAATGCACTCTTAAAACTGTTTATGCAGCAGGAACCCTACTACAGGGTTTATTCTACTTCTGCCTCTTTCTTTTATGCTGTGCTGCACATCTCTCGTTCATCTTTCGGGCTTCTTTTGCATATTTTTTTCTAAAACACTCCACATGCAAACTATTCGATTCGGTTTGCTGCAAAAATTTAAACCCAACACAGGAGCTTTCAAAGCGCTGCAAAAGAGCTCAGTCTTCTAGCAGCCTGTCCTCCATCACAGGCCAGGGAGAGCATAATGGAGCAGTGTGTGCTCAGAGTTCACTGGAGCGGTCTGAGGGGTGAAAGCAGTAGACACACACTGCGCTGGTTGTAGCGAGCTGTTTCCATTACACATTCTAAGCAGCTGCTGTTTGGAGGAAGTCCTTTGAAAGACGGCTTATGGGGGTAACTGGAGTCCACAGTTCAAATGGGGTCCTTCACCCTAACGAGCAGGGGTCGAGGCTGAGGCCTCGCCCTCCCTGGCATCATCGTCACCATCATCCTTGCACCCCCCCCACCCTACATCCTACCGCCACCACTACCACCACGAAGGCCTCCAAACCGAGGACCTACACATGCGACGTCTAAACTAACACTCAACGTTCATG